ATTAGTACAGTTGTTTAAAAAAATAAAGGAAGAATAAAAAGCTTGTTTAGTGTTCATCTCACTACAATTGAATAAATTTTACATGCAATCAAGAAAGATTTTCAGAGTGTAGGATACTTTAAAGATACTTTTATTTTCAGTGTGGATTAGTCGCAGCCCTTACCCCGCCTTCCTTATAAACACAAAACATCTTACATTATTACAACCATATAGAGCTTCTGAAACTCGTTGAGACTAGGAACACAAGCTGTTCAGAGTTAAGTTGTGTGAACATTGAATAATAAGATCCAGTGAAAATGGAACCAAACTCTTTTCCTAGAGTTGAAGATTTGGCAGCAGACACTGGAGAGTGAGTCCTAGGTCTGTGACTTAGCAAGCACATGACAGTCTGACATGTTACTGTCATGCCTCACGGATGGAGGCCAGCACTGAGACATTTGAAGAGCTGCTCTGACCTGGAAGTCAGGCTGGCTAGTTCTTCCCATTAAAGAGAGCCACTGGCTACATGTTTTCTGTTTCAGCAAATGCAACGTGAGGAAATGAAGGGTTTCTAGCTCATGGTCTGAGGTGATATATACAGTCCGTCCACCTTGGCTGGAACAGAAAGGAAGCACAGATAGTAGGTGACAGTCACACAGTGTTGACAATCAAAGCACAGGAGATGGATGCTGGTATTCCGGGGGCTTTCTCCCCTCCCCCCTTTTTAATCTTACTGTTTCCCTTTTTGTTTTTGAAACCCCGCTCTAGTCCTTGGGATGGTGCCTGTCCTATTCAAGGCAGGTCTTCCCTTCTCAGTTAAATGTCTGGAAAATCCTCACAGTGACACCCGAAGGCGTGTCTCCCAGGTGTTCCCAAGTCAACCATTTTACACAGCACATGCCTGGAAGGCAGGCAGGAAGGTTAGGGACGGTGTGGAACCAAAGGCTCTTGCCAAGGCTGCTTCCTAGTCTCTCCTATAACACTCTGTCTATGGTATCCAGCTGGCAGCTCACATGAGGCTTCTGAAGGTCAACTATTCACCTCTAAAGAGCTGTTAGCCCACAGGCAGTTTAAATCAGCCATGGCTCTTGGTGAATGCTAACTGACCATTCCTGTCTTCCTTCTTCAAACACTGCCATCACCGAGAGCCTGTGGTATAAGAGTGCACAGGAGACCTTGCTGGGACTGCTATTGGTCAGAATCATCGTATTATCTAAGGACTTCTGCCTGCTTAGCTGATGCCTCTCTACAGTTCTGCTTAGCTTCTGTTGGGCCTTGGTACAGATTAGGATAGAAATGTTAATTCCCAGCACCTCCATAAAGTCACTGAGCTACAGTCTCTCATGTAGGGAGAGGAAAGACGGGAGAATGGTGGCATGGAGGAGCTGAAAGGAAGGAACATCTACCGCCTCTTCCCAAAGTTGCATTGTAGATGTACTGAAATCACACATCACTCTCTTTGCTTACTTCAAACTCAGCCTATGGGTATGCTGTGTGTGTGTGTGTGTGTGTGTGCGCGTGCGTGCGTGCGTGCGTGCGTGTGTGCGCGCATGTGTGTGCATGTGTGTGCGCGCGCACGCGTGCAAGTGAGCAACCGCGTGTGTCTCTACATGCATGTGTCTCTACACACACATATGGCAAATAGTCCATAGTAATAGATGGGGACTGCCAATGATGGGTTTCACTTTTCCAAATATATAGAAATAGATTCGGCTTAATCTGTCTTGTTAGTATACTCCTAAATCATATGTCTGTGTCTTTTTTGTGTAAATCTATATTCAACAAAGTTATAGGAGCTCAAAGCAAAGATATTCATTTGGATGATAATATCTTCCTAGAATAAAGGAATAAGGAAATATTAAGGGCATCTCTTTCATGGGGTGGGGTTAGGTTGTGGAAACCATTTACAGAAGGTGAAGCCAGAGAGAAGGTCGTGGACCTGTGTTTGAGTGGAGTAACCTTTTGAAGAAGGTTGACTGCATAGTATTCTGTGGGTGCCTTCCTCCAGCGTCGACTTAGACCCTGACATGATCCAAATACAGCAATTTTTGATAATAACCAAGCATTACCAGGATAGTGTGTACTTTATATGACTGCCTTTCTTAAAAGTTAGTTTAGCACTTTGAGGAAAGGTGTTAGAAAACCAAAACTGTAAGTAGTTAAAATGCAATTGCTTTAAAAAAAAAAAAAAAAAACAAAACAAAAAAACTGTCACTGAGAATCCCACCAAGAATTTTCCTGTTTTAATGCATTATTTTATTTCACCCTTACAATAACTCTGAGGAATGTCGTGTTTCATGTTACAGACGGAGAAACTAGAAAAGTAAGGCTTAGAGAAGTAATTGCCCAAAGTCACAGCTGTAGTGGTAAACAGCTACAGTTCCAAACTCAAGATTCATCCCTGCAGCTTGACTGCCTACCTCTAGGTGCTCTGAGGAGAGAGCTGTGAAGCCATCGTCTCCTTCAGAAGTCCTTCTCTACACAGCATGCGCAAATGGTTCCCGCTCCACGCTTTAACTGGTGAACATGCCTATTAAAGGCATCCAGTGATGTGACTATGTAATATAGCCTGTCTTCACACTGTGACAACTGTGGCTTCGCATTCTGGTGCTATTTATAGGATGTGGAATTGCCTGATAGGGCAACAGTGATGAAAAGAGGTTATTTATGAGTAGCTCTATGGCACTAACGCTAATCATTCCCAGCATTAAGCCTGGTAAGTCGGAGGCCCTAAAAAATGTTTATTATTACAGCTTTCATCAGTGTTATGTGACAGAAAGATGACTAAGCTAGAAACCAGAAAACTGAACTTTTGTTATCACCCCTCTCATTAGCCAGCAGCTATCTTACGCAAGTACTTCCCGTCCATCCTTGTGTTTCTGTTATCTTATCACTAAATGGGATAGTCACAAAAGATGTGAACAAGGACAGTTAATTCCAGGTCTATAGTTTAGTCATTCTGTAATCCAGACTTCATCTCCCCACCCTTGCCTCTTCAAATCCATAATCTATGATTAATCCATACTCTTTAGCGGAGAGCCACGAAGACATTAGGTTAACGTCTGGAGCAAGCATCCTGCCAGGTTAATGCCACTATTGACTTTTGAAGATACCAATTCTCTTTGATGCAGAAAAAAAAAAAAAAAACGCTAGTTTTCTTAGTGCTTTAAATAATTGTAACTAAATATTAATGAACTTGTCATTCAAAACTGGGCTTTGGAAATTTCTTTTCAATTGGTCTACTTGGATGAACTGATCAACTCCTGTTACTGATTTAGTTATCAAAACAGAGTTTACGTGGAGCTCTCCCATATCCCTAAAAGAAATCTCTTCCATGTGCATTAGTCTGTGGAAGTCCTGAGATAATCATTTTACACCTAACAGAAATATGCATGGCTCTTGTGTTACAGCTTCTAGGGGTGGGAGGAGGGAAGAGTGAGATGGGAGTGGCCAGCTCTGTATTTGAGTTCTAAAGTCAAGAGTCCTTATCATCTATGAGTTGGAAGAGTAAAATGGATTGTCAAATGAAGCTGACTTTCTAAGAAAGTTTAAGAGCAAAGTTTAAAAGCAGCAAAGTTAAAATGAAAGCAGAAACAGGTTGGGTCTTCCTACATTGCTCATGTTTTGGGGTATTTAAATGATTATTCTCCTACAGCAATAGGCAAGTGATAGCAAATTTATCATGGATGTGTATGCTGGTTGGTTTCTCAACTTAATGCAAACCTAAACATTCCTGGAAAGAAAATCTCAGGTGGGAAATGCCTTCCAATTGGAGAGGCCTTTGGGTATGTCTTGATTGCTGGTTGATACCGGAGGCCCTATCCCAATGGGTGGTTCCATCCGTGAGCAGGTAGGCCTTGGCTAGGTAAGAAAGGTGGTTGAACAGTCCTGTAGTTTTCCCTGTGGTCTCTGCTCCATTTCCCGCCCCCTCTCCCCACAGCTTCCTGCCTTGCACTCCTTACCTGTCAGCCTTTTCCTTCCCATGATGCTTTTGGCCGTGGTGTTTATCACAGCAATAGAAAGCAAACTACAACAACAGGCTTCTTGATGACTCTATTAAATCAATATTTTGAACATACCTGCAGTTCTTATGGAAATGTTGTTTGAGTTTGGAGGGTCATTTTTGTATTTATTTAGTTAGTTTGTAACTAAAAAAAATTATTATAAAAATTGATACAATTGCTTTTAATTGTTTGTTGATTTCCATGAAGGTCATAAGCCATTACTGCATATGCTCAGATACATCATATATGTTTATATATCATATATGTATCATGTGTATCCTTTATATGAGGATCCTGTGGAGCAAATGTAAACAAAGAACTTTGTTTCAGTTTTTTAAAGGACCTATTATGTTTAGAGAATGATATTTAAGAAGATAAAAATGATTGTTTTATTTAAGAATATATGATGTTTAGGTTTTTTTTGTTTGTTTGTTTTCAATCTGGCAAAAGCTGCCTCCATCAGATTGGCCTGCAGGCAAGTCTGGGGCATTTTATTGATGAATGATTGGTGTGTGAAGACTTAGTCCACTTTGATGCCACCCAGGAGCAGGTGGCCTTGGGTTGTGTAAGAGTGCAATCCAGTGAGCAGCATTCCCTCCATGGCCTCTGCTTCTTCCTGCCCTAGAGCTCCTGCCCAACTTCTCTTCAAGATAGACTGGAAGCTGCGAGCTGAAATGAGCTCTCGCTTCCCCAGGTTGCTTTTGGTCATGGTTGTTTATCAGAAC